GCTCCGTGTAGCAGCAATCATAATAACCTAAGATACCTTTGTTATTTTCTCCACTGCAATAAAAAGGTTCATGATTACTCACACACACACACCTACTATGTCTCTCCATCCTTGTGGGGACTTTCCATTGACTTCCATTCATTTTTTTTGAAAATTTTATATCCTAACCCTGACCATTTACCCTAAAATTAACCGCACAGGTACCTACCTAACCCTAAAACAAACCTAAACTCAATTCACACCTTGGTCCTAAACCCAACCCCCTCACCCAAAATCAGCTTCCGAAATTGTGGGGACCAGGCTTGCTACATTAATTTTCTGGTGGTCTTTTTAAACAACACAGGTCTGCTCAGCCCTCAGAAATATCCTGGCAGTTAAACGTAATGGTGTCAAAAGGCAGGAGTTGGTACAATAAAGCGTAGGAAATATTGAAAGAACAGAAAGACAGAATCCATTCTGATTACCGAGGAGTCCAGACTGACAAGTCATTAAAACACACATCCTGTCTGGGATTACAGTTCAGCTGAAAAGCCACTGTGCTCATGTGGGTTTAGCTGTGTGTGTACGAGCACGTGTCTGTGAATATATGAGCATCCATCTGTGGACAGTTGTGCACACTTCAGAGCATCCCAATGAAAGTCAAAGACTTGCTGTGACAATGAAGCTGAGCTTAGAGGAATCAACCTCAGCTTGTGTGTCAGGGATTGCTCTTAATTACCTTCCATCTGAGAACCACAGTTTGTTTCATGGTCTAATGACTTCAATGAGGATTAAGCACTTGCCACTGTGATAATTAGCCCATAGCACTCCCTCAGCATCCCAACAAGAGCCTCATAAAACCATCAACAAGGGCACAGTTAATAGCTGGAGTGTATTAATGGGTTTTTTCTCACTTTTATTTAGCCTTTAACCTGAGTCCAAACATCCCGACCACACCTTCTCCCATCAGACTCAACCCACGCACTTCAAGCAGGTTTAAACAAAACTGTTGTTAAACCAAACAATTATGCTCTAGTTTCTGCAAACCCTATTGAAACATTTCAAAATAAGCGCCCTCCAGTGGTCATAATAATGTGTAGCACCTTTAAAACTGAACTTTCTGATTAAATGCTGTRAAAGTATTTTAAAACAACTATAATTTGAAACAAGTGATTGTAAATTTGTTTTAGTTTTTGCTTCACTCCTTTTTATTGAGCTAATTTGAGCACAGCAGAACAACAYGTGCATACTGTGTGTGTAATTTCATTCAGCAGGAACTTGGGCTTATTGTTTCAAAACTATTTTAATTTGTGGCACAAACAACCAAAACCGCATGAAAAATGATTCAGTTAAGGATAAAAAAATAAAGAATTACTTTATTATGCTGGCTTGTGTAGAGTCAGAGCTGTTCTTGTTGATATGTGTGCGTTAGAGTTAAGTCCTATAATATTACAGAAATAAACCAGAACAATAGACTCATCGTGTCAGAGTTAGAAAAGGAGGGGGGATAATTATTTTAGAAAATGTTAATGAAATGTTTTAACGAGCCGACACGATTTCCTGAGGTCCTAATGAAAAGTCTGTGACAGGATTCCAGTCCAACACCTCCTTTCATGGGAGGCAGAGACACTTCACTGCACTCCTTCTCCACCTCCTGCAGGGTGAGCATCTCTTTCAGTTCTCACATAAATTACACTCAATAACCCTTGGAGTGTGTTATTACTGTATGAGCCAGTCTACAGCTTTAATATTTACAATTTTACACATGGAGTACTAAAACTGTGAGGATCGCTCTGCAAAACAGATGGAAAAAACTTGACTGGTAAAGTTGATTCACTTTGCTTCCATCTGCAGAGAGATTACAGTCAGAATGTTGATCTCTTCCTGACTAGAACTGACCCCGAATTTCTAAACTCCAGATTATTAATATAAAAACACAAGATGAAAATCATCTGGAGGGCAGTTAATATAACAAAAAGATGGCTTCATTAAACTTTTGCTTCACTGTTTGTCCACTCTTCCACATTAGTTTATTGAATTATTAATTCTAATTCATTAATGAGTTAGAGGTAAAGAAACAAATTAAAATTTATCACAAATTAAAAACATGAGAGATGGAGAAGTCTTCATAAACTTAAATTAGCAGATGATAACCGCCAAAGCGTAGAATGTTTGGTTTTCCACGAAGGAATGGTGTGAGCTGCGTGTTTGGTTTTCCACGAAGGAATGGTGTGAGCTGCGTGTTCTCAGGATGAATTTCGGGGTAAATAAAGATAAGAACAGTTCTGCTCTAAACTGGCAGAGTGACACACAAATCCGACCTGCTTTTTCAAACATAGAGGGTTCAAAACAATATGAGAGTGTGTGTTTTCCTTTAGATCTTCCATGTGTGTGTGTGTGTGTGTGGGGGGGGGGGGTGATATTTATATTGCATGCCCCCCCTTCCCTTTAATGTTAACCCTCATATGAGATTTATGTCCCAACAGTTGTTTTCAGCTTGTTCATGTGAAGTCTGCTCTCACTAAAGGCTGCAGATAATTATCCAGAATCTGAATCTCACCTTTAAAGCACAAAAATAACACCTTTTTCTCTTCGTTGCTCTAATTTGGGATGAAATTTTTTTAAAAAATGTAAAAACAAAGAAAAAACATTTTTTCCTTCCAAATCAGCTCTTTGATTTTTGCTGTTTTTGTGCCATATTCCAACTCTCAGGAGATGCTCTATATGGATTTAGAATCATAATTAAGCAAACTGACAACAACCACTGTATAAAATTAGCCAAAAACAAAGTATTTTATTACAAACACATTTTTCCTTTACTAATGAAATTCACCTGGGAATTCTAAAACAAACAACTTTCAGCTGAGTCAAACCAGTTTATACTGTATATATATAACAAGTGACAACATACGTTGTTTCAGGGCACTGTACATGAACAAAAGAACAAAAAAAGAAGAAGCCAACAGATTTTATTACAAACACATTTTTCCTTTACTAATGAAATTCACCTG